CTGTTGCGAGTTTTGTTCCTAAGCCGCTGTTTACTTAGTGAGAGCTACTTTCATTCTGGATTTAGTTGTATGGTGTCTTCCACTTGACAATAAAAGACAAACAGATCGTGACACTATTTCGAAGCACAGCTGCCGTGCAACGCAACGGAAGCACGAGGGTTGAGTTATTTCTAGGTTGCACAACTGTAGGCAGGAGCAGTCCAAAAACAGGGTTGGATTCGAACCACAGACCTTCCGGTCAGCAGTTTCCCGGCTTAACGGCTCAGCCATCCCGAGCTTCTTCATCAACAAAATATTTAGTACGAGTTATGGCAAGTAACATTGCCTGACGTAAGGACGTCCTTCTACTGAAAGGAATATTTCCCTGCAGCAACAGTTAGCACGGGCATAGCTAAACGAATCAGAAACTGTAGCTTGACTGTGCCAAAAAAGAAATGACACGATTTACAGACTATTTGCAACCAGTGCCGTTACAGGACCTTATGAAGTATGCACTTTTGTAGTCCCCACTGTTTTCTAACAACCATTGGCAGCACCATAACGAACTAAACTAATAGAAGAATTTGACTGACCACTTCACAGGTGGGTTACAGAAAATCGAGTAGGTAAAAAGGTCCCACAAACGGGTTGGGTAGGGTGGGTACTAGCGACTTACCGGAGTTGCTCATGTCCACCATCGAGGCAGTCTCACTGCTGGAATGTACGCTCAACTGTGGATCAAGTGTCTCCGTAGACTGACTGAAAATGACCTATATATAATAAAATGATAAATAAAAAACACTGTCAATGATTTGATGTACAGATTGACAAACTACGGTTGTTAATCGTCGATAGCAAGCCGGAACGGGAGTAATCGAGGCAAATGTTCCAGAGGACAGAATGTTAAAGTGCAGACGATGATAAGATTTTGCATCGAGATTCTTAAGAAGCCGGTATGAGAAGTCTCGTGAAAATATATTATAGCTATCCCAATCGGAACTACAGTACTGATATGATGCGGACACGTGCTAACTATACCGAAACGTGCTCTTGGGGGCGGAAATAAAGTGCCGATAACAAAAGAAGTGCAGAAGAAAAAAAGCCCGCACCCATGTTCACCTCAGAGAACTTTTGAAACACCCCGTGTGCCAATGAAAATAAAGAGGCTGACCATCTGAAACCTGGGTGAGTTGCTTATGAGCGTCCTGGAGAAGAGAGCTGTCCGTACTGAGTTAGCCACAAATTACTTACGTGCTGGGGCCGCATGGTACGGACGACCAAAACCTGCCTGCTCTGTGTCAAGTGGCGATGATTGATTGATGAAGAAGAAAAATCGGGAGGTAAACATCAGTGTGGGATCGGGATGTTTCGAAGCATGAAATTGTTATTATTACTCAGGGATTAGGAAGGATCGTTGCCCAGAAAGTGAACCCTCATCCTCAAATGGCTGGTTGGAGTGATCATTTCTATCTAATTTCAAGAGTGACTTATTAGTACTACCTGGAACTGGATGCACAAGAAAAAAATGGCCAGAGAATAAATACCAGGTAATAATCAAGGTTACGCTCCTTAGTTGGCAAATCATAATTAGGGAGGAGTGGAGAGTAGAAACACTCGTTAAAAATAGGTGGATTTGCTACCTGTCCGTCAGTACATTCGTCTATTTATCTTATTTAGTTTAATCCAAATCTAATCTATGTTTTCTGTTCATTGACCTAATGGCTCGATTTTAAAAGGAAACGCGAAACCATTTGTTTTCGCGTGGTCAAGACGATTCAGTATATGTTCTGAGACATACAGAGGACCAAATAGTAAATGACAGCTTTTGCCCCACAGAATCACACGCAGTTTTTGAGGTTTTCACAGTATTACGTTTACTGCAGTGTCATATGAAACGTCGGGCGACCTTGACCTGATGTCATTGTCAACTGAGAGAACTCCACTTTTGGTTGAATACTTTAAAGAGCCACCAAAATTATTGATTCATTGCTTATTACAGTGTACCAAAGACATTCAGTAGGATTATACTAACCATGAATTGTGAAACCAAGATTAGAAGCACTAGCTTTTTTGATTGTCGGCTTTTATTCAATGCCACCATTAACATAATCGGGTTTCAGCTTAATGCACCCTACTTGAATTAGACACTGGCGGAAAGAGGCAGGAAGGATCAGTTCGAACAGGAAGCACCGTATAGGTAAACTAGCTACACTCATCCAAGCTCTCTATGCAAATATACCAAACCAAGCTAGAATCTAGTTACAGTCCAAGATCTGTTGGCGCGTCTATAGAAAACATTCATTCAAACCAACAGACCCAAGCCGATTCACTTGAAGACAGTTCTTAACTGGAGAACCGTATTTTTTATTTCCCAGAGGTCACGACTTATCTTTGAGAGCATTTACCACAAAGTTCAAAACCATTAAGGAGCTATATGGAAGCTGTTGCAAGATTGCAGTATTCGCATTGTGTTCCATTTGGGTAAAACATTGAGATGACATTCATTACGAAACGCAGCGCACTGTGTATACGGTTGAGTCTTCAAATGTCAATCAACCTACACAGAACAAGTTTCTTGACAATTTGGTGCGCGAATCAGGGACCACGACACATAAGTCCGATTGTTTCCACGACACACAACTCCAAGTAACTTCATCGTACCTCTTAGCGTCTTACCAGAGGAGTATCGGGCCTGATTTTCAAGACGCTGGCGTGTTTCAACAAGGAGTCAATTTAAATAAGTCGTCTACGTAAAGAAGGGTCTCACAATTAGTCTACTTCCTCGATACATAGGTCAGCCAGTTTCGCCACTCGCGTGCGACACAAATTATATAGAGTTTCGTTTCCGCTTTCGACTCTCACATGTCACTTACAAGCATCTGCTCACACTACCAGCCGATGAAAACCATGTGATCCAGACAACCTTGCTTGCCCTGCCTTTATGATTAGTCTTCGTTTAACTGTTGTTGACAAGGGTGACTCAGCCACAGAAGTGTCAGAATACACCGCACAAAAAAATTTAGGTCTTACATAACTTTTCAGATCCAAATCATCTGCGCATAAGTTCGTAAATTTAAAAAACCTGTCCTTCCTCAGAAACTCTTCAGTTAATAAATAATGCCATTGTCAGATGGATGAAGTTTAGTGGTTATAGTTAATGGGGGACATACAACTGACATTCCTCCTAGCTCCACATACAGCCTGTAGAATTAGATTGGCTAAAAAACGAACTCGGGGATTCGGTATAACACAGTAATTCTTTTCAACGTTGGCAGTAATACGACAATCACTACAAACTGATGCATATGTTGTCCTGATTATCTATAAATGAGACCTTGAAAGTCTACACAACCTGCGCGTACTAACAAATCAAGCAGAATCGAGAGATGTATCGCAACAGTAACTTTAACCAGCCGATGTACATCTCATTTGCCGGTCTACATTTACAACTCCTGATCGAAACTCGACCAGGGGTGGTGGTAAATACACCCACCAACTCGATATATAATACAGATATGATAATAATACAGATACAATATATATATATATATATATATATATATAATACAGATATGATTAACTAATCGCCAAAATAACAGACTGAATCACTTAAGTTCATGTGACAAAATAACCCTGATTTGGAAGACAATGGATATCCAGGGAACAACACTGTGGAGGTACACTGGAAAACTGCTTGCGAAAGCCTGCAGGTAAGAACGGATCATTATCACCATCATCATCGACAGCATGACACTAGTGTATAGAAACCGACAGCAAGAATGCCACTGACCTCGGTCGGCAGTCATTTCTCGCAGCGTCTCCAACCAGGCGTGGCGGGGATCACGCGGTCCCCATCCTTGAAGGCGAGTACAGCTGATAGCACCCAAACGTTTCGTAATATTCTACATACACCTCTTCCAGGTCAAGGATTGGCTACCACTGAAAAAATCGTTCACCTGTAGCACCATTTCGGTGCCTAACTGCCGTGCCACCCGAAGGAAACGTGAGGGCTGGGAAGCTGCCAGGTTGCTCAAGCCTAGACAGGGGAAGTTGAGAGGCAGAGGTCAGGTTTGAACCACGGACCTTCCGGTCCGTAAATCTGCGCTCTAACCTCGGCGCCATCTCGCCCTCCATTGGCCACCTCTATGCCTCCGCCAAACCGAGTTAAGCATGGAAAACAGCACTCTCTTTGGCAAAGGATGGTTTAGCATGTCCCAACCAATGCCCCTGGTGCTGGACACATACTTCAGTGGAAGTCTCCGTTGCACAGTCGAAAACTCGATTTCTAATTGCCTCATTGCGGATTCGCCGACACCAACCCATACGAAATACGGCCCTGAGACAACGATTGTCAAACATCTGCAGACGTTTCAGTTCAGCTGGTCGAACAGACCAAATCTCACGGTCCTACGACAAAACAGCCCGCACAGTAGCCTGATATACACGTCCCTTGAGATCCAAGGACATACCGGTTTGACGCCGTAAACGTCTCAAATTAGCAAACGCGACCCGGGCCTTGGAGATTCGTGCACTGACTGCAATCAGAACTAATTCGACTTCCAAAATGCGTAAAACGTTCCACAACTTCGGGTGTCTCTCCCTGGATTGTAAGTGGTATGTTCAGTGGCTGCATGCCAAGCAGCATGACCTTAAACTGTGTGTGCAAAGTGCACACCAAAGAACGAAATGACTTTGGTCAGTTTATCCAAGAACCCATGCGTCGCCTACGATGAGAACGATGTCGCCCGCATATCTCACATCGATAAGGCCTTTGTCAGGGGCTACTTGAACACCGGGGTTTTGGAGACCTTCCAACGTTTGCCTCATGATTTCGTCTACCATGAAGTTGAATAGGGATGGAGAGAGTGGACATCCCTGACGAACATCGCTTAGTGTACGGAAGTTTGTGCAGAGCTCTCCGTATACTCTCACGCGTCTAGAAGTCTGAGAACACTAACAGCTTGTTACGTTCATGAAATTCCGAGGCATTCCATGGTGGACAAGCATGTCAAGAAGAATAGACCGGCCAACCGAGTCAAATTCGCCTTGGAACCCCAGAAATACTAGAATTATGGGTCGCTTATACGTATGGCGTTGTTCTAGCACCTGACAAAGTGTGAAGATTAGATCAACGCAACCCTTACCAAGCCGAAATCCGACTTGCTGCTATCGAATCAGTGTTCCACGAGCCACGGTAAGGCGAAGGAGCACCAGTGACGCCAACAGTCTCGTTACGACCGGGGCCAAGCGGATCACCCCATGGTCCCCACACTCACCATGAGCCGCTGTTTGGAAAACGGGCAGTATCACCGACTCTCCCCAGTTATCCGGAACATACTTCTTTGCCCTAATGCACGTGAACAGATCAGACAAGCGCTGACTGAGCACTCCACCCCCATTTTTGAACAGTGCGGGTGGGAGTTCAAGGTAAGTATAGGTGGTGCCGTTAAATGGGATGACAGCATAACGAGTGTGTTATTTTCGCTAGTTATAGGGATGATGATGGAAAGTTGTGGAGGGCGTGCTCCACATTCATCATCATCATCATCATCGACAGCATGACATCAGTGTTCAACACCGATGCTTCACTGCCGTACAACCATGACTTATTTGAAAGCCTTATTGTAAAGAAAAGAATAAAGGTGGGCTGCATGCCAAGCAGCATGACCTTACAAAAGTAATGAAAGCATAGCAACAATTTTCAGCCCCGGCGTTTGCTGAACTAAGTAGCTGGCCTTCGGCGATCAAAACGGCACTTTCGGTTCAACATCAAAAATTGGCTACCTGTGAGTGGAAACGAGATTTTAGGTATTGATCTCGATGAGGACCCGAGAACTTCTGGATACCGTCCGGTCAGCCGCACAGTTAAACTGCACTTAAATAGGATTCGGTATCACTCATAATCCAACCGAGAGGTTTTTACCACATGATTCGATGCTGGCCAACTCTTTGGATCACCTCCGAGAGTAACAAAGAGCAGGAAAGAGGTATTTATTGTCTTTCGGCTAATTAGCATGGACAGGCTCTCTCTTGCAGATTGAAATACGTAATTAATATGCGTAAATACCAAACGTCGGGTACGCGCTTGCACCATCTGATTGTCTGGCTCAGTCACTATACGGCGTCGACATCAGCCGCAAGTAAGCCTGTCAGGTTTCGATAACAACGAAGTTTGAGATATACAGAAGCAGCACTTGCGTTGCATTATGAATTCAGAAAGCGGTGACAAGGTTACGCCAAAGAATTATTCGTAGTAATACTACAACTATTGAATGAAACAAACAATACCCAAAGCCGGATAAGAGTTTACCTCTCAAACACGAGAGCTCAAACGTTAAATGTCTTCGGTGTCAGCATACATAATTTTTGGTTTCCTTTTAACTAAAAGGGAAAATTATTTTGCGGATCCAACAGTCCCTTTGTAGAGACGTTATGCCATACACAAAGTACTCAACCCAAGGTTAGGCTGTCAGATGTCGCTGAGTCCAATGACTATCAATTACTGTTTACCCGGCATGTACATGGTATGATCGTACCATGCTTCATCGAGTGCAAGATATTTATCACAGTGGTTTACGCAGGTCTAATTTTTTTGCCGAAACGACCCTATCCGATGTTTACAAATATCAAAGCTTCAATACCTTGGATACAGCCGATGAACGATACTGACTCACCAAGTGATTGAATTAGCTGAAACAATAATTCAGTACGTCGATGCAGACATATGGCTTGAGACGGAGATGTGAAAATATACCTGAGACGAAATTTATGGTTCAGGAACCGATTTGGGTCTAGTTCAAAGTACGGTATCCCAGCTTAGTGAATATCACTGTAGTAAACTAGTCTTTGATGAGATCGTATGGCTTGTGAATCCATTGTTGTTTTAAACCTTAGTTAGTTATTACCAATTTCGGTTGCACTTTTACTAAATTGTGTTTAGCTGATGACGATATGTTCACACATTATTACGCCTTACATCCATATGAGTATTTTCTCAATACTACCAACGAGAATGTTGTTTCTATAGATGGCAATTGTTCTCTTCGCTGAGCTTGGTAATTTGGTTGCAAACGTCTCACTACCAACCTAGGTGGCATCATCAGTGCGTCAGTGTATAGGCGTTAAGTAGTGCTGCGCTTGGGCTTATATATTTCTTGTCGACGGGGAGTAGGTGTTCTCTGATTACGACTGGATGCTCGATTCTATTGGTTGGATGTTCGGCTAACACTGGTCGGTGTCCGGACGCAGGGACTGTCATAAATACGGTGTTGGACGAACATAATGAAATTTATCTACAATGAAAGCACAATGAAAGCATGATCCACTCTTTCTAGTTTTAATACACGAAGATGAAGAAGGACACAAGTTCGATCTAGGAAACGTGGAGGGTCTGAGCAAGTGAAACATAAGACACGCAAGAGGGTCCTTGAATTAAAACAACCGAAACAGACAGACCCAATCTACACTGAACGAGAAGGATCACTAAATTGTTCGGATTAGTCAAACAAAATAGATGAACCAGGTGACCAGAATAGCAATCATGGGATCAAAGATCACATGGAATGGATCAAAGAGGTAAAACTCAAAGGTCGGCCGGACGCCGACCAACCGAGAAGATAGCCAACCTTCAAACAAAAAAGGAGTATCTAAACAGCCAGTAGTGATCGCAGGCATACCAACACCCGCGTCAACAAGGCATATATAAGCACATGCACAGTACTACTCAACACACCGATGCACTACTTCGAATCACCAAATCACCATGCAATGATGACGTCGACTCGGGTGATGAGTAAACATTTGCAATCAGACTGCCCAGTTCAGCGGACAGAACGACGACCACCTGTCTTCTCAATGCTGGATGAAAAGGGGTCGTAGCTCAGAGGTAATTCTGGTTGTTAAGCCACAAAATGGATAATTGGGAGACAAAAACGTCGGTCGTTAGGGAGGGGCGATCCAATTCCGACAAGCAGGTACAGATGAAAACCGTTGAGAGATAAGCATCTAAGGCTTCCTTTGAGTGGGATGACGTCTCAAATTTGTGCCAGTCATGAGACTAATAGACAAAATAGGCCTCGTAAAGCCTGTACTTGGAACTAATTCGCTGTATCAATTAGGCGTTCATAAAAGAAAGCATGTGCAGTAGATACTTACAGAAGGACTTCGAGGAGCAGCAAAGCGGCGATTGGATGGTAATCCGTAGCATGCAACGAGGCGGAAAAGGCGATCACGAAGACGTAGCTGGAATAAAGCATTTCAGAACGGAAGTCAAGCTCTACATCACAAAACATGTTTGCACCTGAGTAGAAATGAACTTTTTGAATGCCTTTTTTCTTATTGTGAGCGACCTTCGCGTTCACGCATTTCGTCCTAGCAGTTATTGAATTTTACTTATGTCCTCCAGATACTCAATGCAGTAGAACTGGTTAGAAGAAAATAAGTCCAAAGCACAACCCAGCTAACAATGTGGATAATGAAAGCAGAATAACGGAAGTCCTGATAGAAAACAGGACACTAGGAAAGATCGTCCAGTTGCGACACCCTTTCAAAGCATAGCTATTATGCAATCCAAAAGAGTAATGAGAGTTAAGGTACTGCGAGGCTGACCGAGCCTGGATAGAAGTAAACGAAATATCAGTATGTAGAAAACGACGGCTTGGATTGGTCTAGATTACTGTACTATGAACCCCTGAAAATTCTATGATGCCGCGACAGCCCCACATCCCCATTTGTGTACCGAGCGGCTACTAAGCATATCAAAGAATGATCAGCAGGAGAGTAAATGCATCAGGGAAAAAATACTGTGCGAGGTTCACTTGTACGTATTCCTTCAATCAAATACCCACCCACAGTCATTCACTTGATCACGAGACTCACTTTTTCCCCACACTCACAAACCATGCCACACAATCGTCACTCGTTTGACCTTGACTGTCTCTACCGACTTGCAGGAGTGGAAACAAGGCATGTGCGGACACACAAAACGCAAACCTACATACATATAGGAAAACCGAGCACAACCAAACACAACAACACTACCCACGTCACTCAACTCGACGCCTAGCCGTGCAGGAATTACGGTACGCAATCCACCTACAATCAGGAAATACACGTATATGCCACAACAGTGAAAGAAACACGAAGCCTCCGTTCGGACGGACAGCAAAAACTATCAATCCGTGCCCACAATACAATAAATCCATTTGCCCCTATATGTATACTGTATTCACTTCCATTAACAAAAGCAGCCTTAGGAAGCCAATTTTTGGGCTACATTAGAGCATTAACACACTCACCTGACGAGAACCAGCCTTGTTCCAAGAAGATGCAGCTACAGAGAATAAATCAGTTAAGCCCGAGTCTGAAAGTCGGAAGAAATCTGTTTTCTTTGAACTCCCCATGTCAACACCGTGGACCCCAGAGGATTTGCAAATCTCCTCCGTGGTAGCACTGGAAGTGGCGGGTGCGAAATGCGCGGCAACCAACGGAGCTTCGTACAGTGTATTGAAAGTGAAGTCTAGGACGGGGCCTGCAAGTTCCATGCGCAGTGGTTCACTCTCCGGTAGTGGAACAGCCACAGCAGCCGCGGCAGCAGCGAAGTCCAACACACGGCCACTACCAGAGGGATCAAGACCGGAGAGCGTGTAAACACACGGAGGTGGTGCAGCACTCAGCACCGCAGAGCGAGAGACGACGATTTGGATAACTCGCGTTACTTCTGACCAGAATTCTGTCTATCAACAGAAAAGAAAGCAGGTGGGTCAATTCGCTACGACAGGATTCTGAGAACATAACGTGTTGCACCAGTGAACAGATGGTTTTCACTTACCCCAAGAAAATGCGATGTGATGGAAGAGATGAAATGTTGAACAGTGTTGCTCAGTTCAGGGCTCGTAAGTTCTACTTGTTGCAGGAAGAGGTAGGCGATCTTCAGCAGTGGAGTCTTCAGACACAATGGGCCGGCGGTTAACAGCTATGGGGGGAAGCAAACGTTCACAGTCACATCACAGAGTAGGGAGTTCACGAAAGTAGCTGGACAGTGAGAGCTTACCGTCGATATGTGCTGCAGTAAATATGCTGCGTACTTCGAATAGCCTTCCAGAAGGTAGCACACAACACATTTAGCCCACTGGTCCACGTCTTTTGAAAATGTTCCTGATGCGTACAACCTGAGAATAAGCGCCAAGTTGGCCAAATGAGAAGGGTCAAGTTGAAGTGCTCTCTGAGCTAACGCATCGGCAGCCTGAAAGATGACCGATTGGAAATATGGGAATAAGTCCCTTGAAAAGCTGTGCTCTGTTAATGTGTCTGATAACAAAAAATAAGATGACCGAACCCCTTACCCTTTGTGCGATGGCAATGAATGAAAACGATTTCAAAGAAACACTAAAACGCAAATAATGGTTATTGGTACTCGGATCTGTGATGAGAAAAGCTATACTGGTGTGCACTAAGTAAACAAGAGCTCCGAGAACAACACCTGCGTCTCTGCTGAATAAGTTCCAGACAACAAGGATCCCCGTTACTATGGCTCCGGTGATTCTTTCGCGCGGAAATTGATATCCAGGAACAGTTAAAATTGCCAGTGCACTACTCCACACATGGGGAACAAAGATGGACATAATCATACAGAACGTCATCAGAAGAACGACACCACCAAACCCAGTGACAAGAACCGATAGAAAAAGTTTAAGTAACAAAACCCTGTGTCCTGTGGCGGAAGACTAAACACCCTTGTGTTTGCTCAAGAAAAATATATCTTCCGTGGTTACAGGGTAGTTACAAGTGCCAATCTAATTGACGTGTAAAACGACACGCATGAGATAATGCACTCATAGGCATAGAGTTGGAGGGGAGAATTATGTCCTGCAGTCAATCAAGGAAAGATCTGTGAGACAAATGGCAATCCTTAGAAGTTACTAGGTTTTTCAGTGATCTTGAAGCCAGGTTGTTAAATCACATCAAAAACCAGTGGTCACACCGATGTAGTAAATTCCACTTTCAGGTACAAAAAACTTATGCTGTCACACACAATAGTTATCGAACCAAGTGGAAAGAGGAATTTCGGATAGGTCTAGACGATAAGTGAAATGATGCTTTTACGCGTAAATTTTCTTCAAATGACAGAAGCAACGTAGTGTGGCTTAGAAGAGGCTTTGCTTATGCGCTTTTGACATCCTTTGACCCAGGTTGCTGAGCTCATAAGGTCACGAACACACAACGATATGACTTCTCATCAGCTGCAAACTGCCGTCCCGATCATCTTTTTAAATTCCAAAACTGACAAGAGGAAAGACAAAAAATTAAAACTAAACTAAAATTTCCATGTTAGAAGACCGTGATATGAAACTCCAGACTGACCTGAATGCATATAGGATTTTTCGGTCGCAACGGAACAGGTTGTGACGATTTATGAATACAAGTGGAACTAGTCGATGGACAGTACGGGCCAGACGTAACCGCGCTGATGGTGCCGAACCCACCGGTAGCTGGAAAATGGCTTAAACTATCGGGACGTCCGAGACGTGAAGAATGTGAAGAGATGTGTGTTGCAACAGTCGCGCTGCGAGTTGTAGCGGATGAGACCCAGGAACCCAGTGCTCGAGGTGTGACGTTTGTGTTCGTGCAGACACCACGCCCAAGAAATCCACCTTGAAGCACATTTGTCTGTTCGACTGTCGTCTCCAATAAACCTGAGGTACCTGCAGTCGTTGGGTCTTCGTCCCAGGCCGTCAACAGCATGGGAAGTAGAGTGATGAGCACAATAGGGAAACTGAGTTGACTGGTCAAATGGTTTTTGCTCGGTGAGACAACCAGTGGGGAATTGAGAAATGGAATAAGGCAGACAAGCAACTGACATGCAGGATCCACCAAACTCGCAGATGAACACCCCTGGAAAAGGAACAAATGCCATATCCGTGTTACTTGAAGCGGTATATCGTTTCTGGTATCAGTAGGATTATTTTCTAGCTAATGAAACAACTTTGCTGCCTTTTCTGTGTTGACATCCTAAGCAGCAATGGTGGCAGTCACACTACAAATCAGTGAAAGCAAGGCCACCATAATAGAAGAAATCCTGATAAAGCCCTTGTACCAAAAAAGCATATTCAACACTATGAAGGGGACGATCTCATAGTAATAGGCTTTCAGGCAAATTTGATAGGTTTGTAAACAGTAGAAATATTGCAAAATGTTGTGTGTTTGCTCCGACTTTAGCTAGAGTTTGATAAACCTCTAGAAGATGCATATAGTAGATAGGCAAAGCTGTCCACGAATTACTAAGTAAGCTGTCCCATAACAAATGAACGGTTACACACCTTGTGTACTGCAATACCATCTGGATGCATGCAGATCCGTCCGAGAACTTGCTCTGCGAGGAGCTTTTTGATGACGACTCTGTCACGTTGACTCTAACAACCCAGATTGGAATCATCACAAGAAATGCGCAAGTCAAAATATGACGTGCATGATGCAGTACAAAATTCGACGTACTTTAATAGCCAGGTTCAGCACGCCAGCAACTGGAGAAGAGAGGTGCAGCTGCGTGCGAATTTGTTCCGCTCGAATGGGCAAACAAATTGGAACGGCTGACAGCGCCCTGGATGAGAAGCGTTCACTATCTTCAGCGACATCATCAGCACAGACACTTGGCACCAAGGTTGTTAAAATGCGCAGACCAGCGATATATTCGTGTTCGAAATCAGATTCGAGCAGGAAAACTCCAGTCCAGAAAATGCCACACACCAGATCGACCTGTTCATCTTTTGGAAGACGACAGACCACCAATCTGGGCGTTCGTGGACGTGATGCTGACTCTTCAGAGCCCAGAATGTGGCTGAGCATGTGAAATTCAATCAGAAAAACACAAGTTATCAAGCTGCACATAATACAGTAGGAAATTCGTCCAGCAAGTACGATACAGAGTCCCCTAAATTTTGTTGCTTGACCTGTTTATCTGTGTTAGGGAATTAATACAGGGAATTTCATCCTATGAGACAGAGCTAACCTATGCCGAAAAGTTCATACATGTTGGGACTGGATAGGGATAGAGAGGAGTTGATGGCCGGGGCCACGAAAGACTCAAGCAGGAATGATGAAGTGAGGCAATTCGCAGTACGGATAAATGGTAGTTTGCATATAAGAATCACGGTCTACAGTGAAAACGGATAGCCTCGCTGGTGTCGTTGCTGGAGGGAATCGAGTGTAAACGTTCACTGATAGGGTGAGGTGGTGCCAATGCGTAGGATGGTAAGTGAACTGTAAAGACACGACAAACTGAAAGCGCACCGAGATGGTTAAATCTCAGGTACGGTTCAGCGAGTTAGAACGAACTCGTCCGAGAGGCCGTTGAGACCAGATAAGCGGAGAGAGTCCATAGTAGGAAGAGAATAGTTGTGGGTGTGCCATGAGACTGGTCATGTGACAGTACTGTGACATTGCGCTGACATACTCCGGTTTCTGAACAGCCTTGTCAAGGACGTCGTGTTGGAGGCGATCAGACACGGGATATGCAATTCTGTCAGTTGTGTGATCCAGGTTACCAAGGGGATCCACACAGGAGGAATCAAACCGATGTGGGATCACAGGTAATGTTGGTTCAGTTGGAGATATAAAACGACGTACGGACGGAATGGATAACAACCAATCGAGGCGTTCGGAGCAGCTGCTGTCGAGGATTGCAGCATGCACTGATGCAAACGGCAGAAGACCAAGTACATAGGGGTTGTTTGAAGATCTGGTTGTATTCAGAGACAACAGTGCCCAACAAGGCGTTTCCGACGACAGTGGCGCAGGCTAAAGTTAGTTCGGTGGCCGTAAAGGCGGATATTACGGGATACAGGTTTGAGCGGATATCTGCTTAGGTGATCTGTGGGGGTGCAGTCCAGTAAGCCGGCACTGTGGTGCGCTCTTCCTCACGATACTCTGAAAAAAGATGAGGTTGGCTCACTGGAATGATTTCTGGAATAGACAGTGTGGTGGACGGTATAAACCTAGTAAGCGCTTGGTGAACCTCTGCTGGATAGTTTCCAGCAGAGACTCGTCTTTTCTCAAAAACTTGGTTTGTCTAGTATTTTTAATCTACCGGCATGTTAACCTAGGTACCGTAAAGGTGAACAAATGATTATCCACGGCATTATCCTAGGACGCACCCAGAAGAACCAAACGGTGATTGGTCCTTTCCGACATTGGTTTTGTTGAAGGCAGGGCAGATACGATGTTGCTTAGATCACCAACTTGGAAACTGAGGCGTTGCTTTTCACTACCGAGAGTGCACCGCGTGTTGCGTCCGGTATCCATGACCCTTTGATCAACAGTCTAGAATTGGGACATACTTGCCGATGCCAATTAAAGAAAGTCCAGAGGTCTCCAAATTTTGACACCATAATCTTAAAGCAGACTGCGAGTGCTGACAGCAACAGGTAGATCAGTGGTAGTCATGGTGAATACTGGGGTGGAAAGATGGTTCTTGCAATCAGTTTACTGGGAATCGCGCGGTTAACATAGGCCTGATATGTGCGTTGGATAAACAGTTGTTCGGTCATTAGACAGTCCACCAGTCAATCCTCAGACGACTTAGAAGGGTTGCATGATCGTCCCTGTCAAGCACGTTCGAAAAGCCCAGGTTTACCTCGTCACACTGAATGTGGCTTTGTCCGAAATTAGAGACGAAGAAGCTCTTTGGTACACGAATTTCCTTTGCGGAGACCCTGTTGTTCCAAAGCTATATAAGCATGACCACTAAGGTGGCAGCGGAATAAATTTACATGATGGTGGAAGCAGTGAGCAGCAATCCTACTGAACAGTAGTTGCACTGCTTGGTCCAGTCACCACGCTTTTAGACGGGAGATAGAGCTTCTAGCTTCTTAGATCTCCTATGCATAGGAGATGTAGATTAGGGACAGCCGCTTGGACTTTACCATGGTTTGATGGTTTGTGTGTCTCCGTGAAAACTGAGCCACACTGGGTAGTGTGCGTGCCAGTTTGGTCGATGGTCAGAGGTCAGACCAACACAGTCTCCTGGCCTTTCAGGTTGGGCGTTAGAACAAATGTGGTGATCAGTTCTACAGAAATGGTGAAGCGGTGCCATTTCCGCCGCACGCCACTGCTTTGCGATCAGACTGTTTGGCCGAAAGCTTTGGTTGAGGAATCTAATCGTCATCCTGTCTAGGTCTGGGTGCCCTGGCGGTACCCCAGCCCATGTACAACAAGGGCATTTACATCTAACAATATTCTCATGCCACATCAACCGTCGTGTGGTGTCACCAGCCGGATGGACCGGTTTGTTCACCATGCATCAAGCTTAGCTTCAGCTTCTGTACGTCTTTAATGTCCGCTGCTGCATTGCGTTGCGCTTTTCAGATATGCGCAAAACGCGCACACATCGCTTAGCCACTGAGAAGCTAGTGAACCCAGAAATCAAAGAAAACTGTCGCAACCAGCCCCTCGGAAGCCTGCCGGACGGTCCGATGTCGGATATAAAGGGTCATTGGGAAAAGATATCCAAAGGGCAACTCAAAGCCGGGACGTTTGTTCGCGGTACAATCTAGCCAACCTTATCCAAACATTGGATCTCTGATAGGACCGTGTCCTTGCTGGAGACCTGGCGACAGATTCCTCCCGACCGCAACCCCAACTCCACCCGACGCATTATCTGACGTCAGGTAAAAGTGGGTGGCCGTGCCGGGCGAGAAGCATGGTGAAGCAAAAAGGCCGAAGAAATGGAAGATGGGAAAATGCCAGAAACATCTATAAGCTGTTCCACTTGATCCGTTCGACTGGCCCTCGGAAACCTTTTGTCAGCGAAATTATCAGGGGCCAAAATGGCTCCCTGATATGCAGCAAAGCAGAACGCTTGAACCGCTGGGCAAAGTACTTCGAACATCAATTTAGTTGACCATCTGCCACTTCCACTCCGGAATTCTGGCCTTCAACAGAAAGGTGGACTGTGAATACGTAGCCGCCTCCAACCTCGGAAGTGTGCGAGATTAAATCCCTACTCAAGATTCATCGTACTGCTGGTTCTCACAACCTCCCACCTGCCATGCATGAGGAAGGTGGTGAGTTTCTCAGCCAGCGCCCGTCTAGCCTATTTGGGTCTACCTGGGAGGAAGAGACCCTCCCAAACAACTGGAGTGAGTCGGTAATAGTGCCTAATTTGAAAAAAGGTGCTCGCAGTCAATGTAGTAACCGGAGAGGTGTCAGTTTGACTCCTGATGTGACAAGTCTTCTGGCGTCACTGATTCTTCGTCGTCTTACAGTGACATGAGAAACCTTGACTCGTGAGAATCAAGCGGATTCGGTCGGGTGAAAGGAGGGAAGCCCTTCGCCGCGAAGCTGTTTATCAGAAAACGCCAACTAAACAGTTACAGACTATCGGACAGGAAAGTAAAACTCTCAGATGTATCTTGCTTTTAAAAACTGAATATTCGTCTTCTTGATCTTCCCTGAATATGCATTGACTATCACACCATTGTAGACTAATGCTGCAAAGCAGTTCCACTAATTCCGCAATAAATCCTACCTTCCATTAGATCAAGGGGGAGTTACGGAAAACCACATTCTAGTCACATGCCTCGTCAGTAGTATCCATCGTTACACGGGTAGAGGCTGCGTCGAACAAATCTCCACACTCCGTCACGTCACATGCACAGACGACCCACAATCTTTGTGTTCCTTCACTTTAAGGGTGCGTTCGATTCTCTCGATTTGTCAGAGCTTTTAACTACACTTGCTCAACAGGGTATGCCTAAGGAACATAATCCGATTCCTATATTCACATACTTTTGGGCGGGTGAATGTGTGGTGACTTCTCTGAAAGATATCCCACAAAAAGTGGTATCCTACAAGGACGTCCACCCTCTTCATTCTTGTTCAACTTTATCATTGAAGAAATAACGAGGCGAACGCTGGAACGTCTTCAAAACCCCGGTGTTCAAATTTTTGCTCGTGAGAGCCTTGTCGGTCTGGAGTACGCGGGCAACATTGCCTTCACTTTTGAAGACAGAGATGAAACAAAGCCCTATTGAATAGACTGACCACCATCATGTCATTATTTGGAATGAACCTTGGACCTTCAAAATGCAGGGTCATGCTTCAGAACGTACAGCCTCTGATCATACCCGTAACAGTTAAGGAGAATCACTGAAGGTTGTGAACAATTTTACACACTTTGGTAGTTGTGTTAGCTCTGACGGAAATGTGTCTGATGCAAAGGTTTCAAAGGCTCGAATCGCCTCTGCAAATTTGCGTCACCTGTGGCGTCAAAAAGGCATATAACTAGAACTTAAGGGTCGCGTGTACCAGGCTACAATAAGGACTGTATTGTTGTATGGGTTCAAGACAGATGACGTGAGGAGTCTTCAGGTTTTTGACCACCGATACATCAGAAGCGACGTTTGTTTTGGATTTGTCAACGGACTAGCAACGAGGTGATTAAAAACGGGTATGTGGTTGTGTAGCAGGTTCTTTAATCGCGGAGAGCAACACTAACCGTGGTGGCTTGGTCATGTGTTACGAATGCCGAAACACCGTCAGTTGAGACGAGTGTTGTTCTTCGTGCCTCCTTCAGAATGGCGTAAACCACGAGGTGGACAGCGGATGACATGGGAGAAGGGCGTGAAAGAGATTGCCAAGAGTTTGGGAGCTGTTGGTATTGTACGCTTTCCAGGATGGGGTTCCCGTGACCCCACCCGTGGTTGGCTGGGGAACTTGCAAGAAGTGGCGGGTGATCGACGTCAGTGGCCTTCGTACTCAGTTTCGTTCTAGATTGTCTGAGTGGGCGCATGGAGAGTTAGGCACCTAGAATACTTGTCATGGGCCAGTACTAGATCCACTCCTTCACCCACTCTTTTTCTCTTCTTTTCACTTTAAACATACTTAGGTATATAATTACACATGTATATATAGATATATCTGTATATGATAAGGAATAACGGAATACCTCATCTCGAAAGTGATCAAATATGCAGCACCGTCGTTAGATTTAACTCAAACGGGTATATAGCCACTCATCCATCAACCGACACAGACTAAGTTCACTGAGCTGGATCAACTTACTAGAGCGATCGAATGCTAACGGAATCCTCGGATAATCAGAACGAAAGCAAAACTTTTCCCGCCTCTGTAATGACCGCATTAAAATCCAAGTCACATCGACTTGGTGCTTGTCAAAGCCCTTGAGGATTGTCCAAGGTAAGGGATTTCAATTTGACTACTCCCATTTAGTCAGGTTTCCTTGTAAGTTGTTTACACGAGCTAGAAAGTGCCTCAGTAGATTTTGATTCGTGAGTGTTGTAGAATCCTAGCCATTCACAAGAGGGTGTCTACAATATGATTTATTCGATACCAGGGGTTGAGTCAATCTCTTTAGAATTATGAGTCTTCGATTCACGGAACTACTTTCAAGATTCATGCAACATGCTTGGTGCGCTTTTGATAAGCCCAAAGTACGGATTGTTACAAAACCATACCACGCATACAAAGTACTGATATAGGGTTAGATTGCCAGATACGATTCGGTCACATGGTCCGCGAGTGGTGTTCGTCATCGGCGGTATAGTCTATCTAATGAAAAAGTCAGGCATAATGGGTAGTAGTGGAGAGGTGGTTGTGCCATATCGTGGCGAACAGTTCGACACTCGCGAATACCGTGTACAACCAAACATCCATACTATAAAGGGATGGATAGAAGGGTGATATAATAACACCATTGACGAGAAGCTTGCAAAGCCGATTTTGTGGAATACTGCTTATTGCGGACTGTCTTTCACGATTGAAAATCAGACATTCAAGAGTTTGGAGCTGTTGGTATTGTACGCTTTCCAGGATGGGGTTCCCGTGACCCCACCCGTGGTTGGCTGGGGAACTTGCAAGAAGTGGCGGGTGATCGACGTCAGTGGCCTTCGTACTCAGTTTCGTTCTAGATTGTCTGAGTGGGCGCATGGAGAGTTAGGCACCTAGAATACTTGTCATGGGCCAGTACTAGATCCACTCCTTCACCCACTCTTTTTCTCTTCTTTTCACTTTAAACATACTTAGGTATATAATTACACATGTATATATAGATATATCTGTATATGATAAGGAATAACGGAATACCTCATCTCGAAAGTGATCAAATATGCAGCACCGTCGTTAGATTTAACTCAAACGGGTATATAGCCACTCATCCATCAACCGACACAGACTAAGTTCACTGAGCTGGATCAACTTACTAGAGCGATCGAATGCTAACGGAATCCTCGGATAATCAGAACGAAAGCAAAACTTTTCCCGCCTCTGTAATGACCGCATTAAAATCCAAGTCACATCGACTTGGTGCTTGTCAAAGCCCTTGAGGATTGTCCAAGGTAAGGGATTTCAATTTGACTACTCCCATTTAGTCAGGTTTCCTTGTAAGTTGTTTACACGAGCTAGAAAGTGCCTCAGTAGATTTTGATTCGTGAGTGTTGTAGAATCCTAGCCATTCACAAGAGGGTGTCTACAATATGATTTATTCGATACCAGGGGTTGAGTCAATCTCTTTAGAATTATGAGTCTTCGATTCACGGAACTACTTTCAAGATTCATGCAACATGCTTGGTGCGCTTTTGATAAGCCCAAAGTACGGATTGTTACAAAACCATACCACGCATACAAAGTACTGATATAGGGTTAGATTGCCAGATACGATTCGGTCACATGGTCCGCGAGTGGTGTTCGTCATCGGCGGTATAGTCTATCTAATGAAAAAGTCAGGCATAATGGGTAGTAGTGGAGAGGTGGTTGTGCCATATCGTGGCGAACAGTTCGACACTCGCGAATACCGTGTACAACCAAACATCCATACTATAAAGGGATGGATAGAAGGGTGATATAATAACACCATTGACGAGAAGCTTGCAAAGCCGATTTTGTGGAATACTGCTTATTGCGGACTGTCTTTCACGATTGAAAATCAGACATTACTGCGGATGCAATGAATGATTACTAATGACTACGATACGACTTAGTTAGCCTGATTAAGTCCATCATACCAATGAGAGCATTGCACCCAAGGTAAAATATGTTAATACGTCACTGGTAGAGGTTTACGAGTAGTGGACTGAACAAGATACCAAGTTCGTCTTCTCTAACGTACCCTGAAAAGCACATTTCGTAAAAAAAAACAGCTAATCCAAACTTTTGGGTCTCCCAGTACTGTTCTGTTTTTCTTCGTTTACGAAGTCATATAAGGGAAGCAGCACCGAAACTCTCCAACTTGTTACTGGTCTAAACTATCTTCTCTCTGGGTCCGTGCTTTTGTGTCCAACTCTGGCGTGTTACCAGTAGCACGCACTTCCGTGGGTGCTATAGGGTCTGACGACCAGTACTACTTGGAGGGCACTAGCCTCATCACAGCAAGCAGTGCTGGCTTTAAAGGAACTTGGTCAGGAGTAGAACAACTTGTCATCACAAACGAGAGATTCAGCTGGGTTCCAGGTGAGTGTCCCACAAAACCAAATTCGTTTGCAAATGAGTGTATTTCGCTAACTTGTCATTTAGTTAGGAAACACCATTGTATCACACGACAGAATAAGCATGAGTCTGCATTTACATGGTTTGGCTTCTGCATGGACGAGAACGCCTCTTAATAGTGTTCTAAGACAGCTTGAATTCTACCACATTAGTTACTTCAACACCACATTATTGTGAAAAACTTCCACAACCTTAATTTTCAAGCGTATTGTAATGTATTTTTTAGACAATTTTGGTGGTGGATATTGTGAAGAGCGGGCTGCGACTGATTTAGGGAAAACAATAAGAGGAATTATGGTTATCTGTGGAGAAAAAACAACCTACTTTGGCTTTGAAGATTCATGGGGGACTAGCGAAGGTTCGCCTTCTTGTTTCGGTTCGTCAGTGTACTGAGGCTTGAACCAAGAGCTTGGACCATCCGAAGTACAGTAGTTCGTCGAAGTTGAGTGTCGTTGGGATCGCCTTCGGTCCGCTATGTTTAAATCCACATTTGGTACATGACCTCCCACAGAACGAGGTGAAGTGGGTGCAGTGCGTGTTTGTTTGTCCGGCCAGGAACCAGATACGGAGTCACCCTGCTTGGATGTTCGTCCAACCAACAAACTATTACTTTTTGTCTTCACATGTGCAATCGCAGCTTCCAAAGTAAGGAAAAGTTCGGCAACGTAGTCCTAGAAGAACGACATGATATTTGGTAAATAGGTTTGGAAGACGATGAGACGTTTAACCACAGAAGATAACATGAGAAGCAGCCATGCGTTGCTTCAAGAGTCTTTTATTTACGGAAGTCCACCGAATTTTCCATACGGACCCTGTAAATGTTGAAGAACTGGGAACATGATGCTAATGATCCCATCGGATATTCATTATTGCAATTGGGCAACGGGGGAAAAAGATTGTTAGGCCCTCACCTGCAGTTCTTCATTAGCATCGGAAACGGTTTCGCCCAAACGAGATAGGAGATGCGACAGGGTTTTACGGTCCAAGTGTGCGCCTAAAATCCGGAAAATTTGTAAACACCGGCTGGCATAATGTCGGTTCGGACATGATAAACCCATATTCAGTGATATCTGGGAAAGTCGAGCAACCACACAGTAATTGGTCACCGGACTGGTAGCGGTCCTGCAGTCCGAATTGTGTTTGAGTCGGTGAGCGAAAGCATGTTCATGCGGCGGGCCGTGGTGACAAAGAAGACAACTCTCCGCGTCTGAAGGCTCAGTGTTAGCCAAAGCCAGAATGCGGGCGACTAGTTGTACGAGTCGCGCCAACAGAGACCGCTTGTCCGAAAGCTCACTAGTGATATCCGTGTCACAGTCTGTGGTGCGGCTGTGATGTTGCTGCGTCAGATAAACAACAGGTGATGTGTGCGCACGCTGAAACCTGTACTCATCCCAGGTCCACACCGCTTGGCCGAGACTGAAGGCATAAATAATTGCGAAAGGGTAAAATTTTGAAGTGACGAACTCGATAAATAACAACTCCCGTCAACAACACAGCAACTGGAAAGTAAGCGGGAACAATGCATACCATCAAAAAACGTAGGTAGACTAGGCATGACATGCTACTTATAAGGTTGCTGAAAACTTTTAAGCCATCATAAACGAGAGAGTTAGTTGAATCCCCTGTCAAAACTAAATTTGAGTGCAAATGAGAGTAACTGTCAAATCGCAGATAGATTTTTGAATGATGTAACATGGTGACGTGTCACTGAGCTCAACAAAAGGACATTTTGCGGACAGATCGATTAAAAGTTCACAATAAACGGGGCTAGCTGACTCATAATTACGTAGACCAATAAATACGCCATTGTCCCCTATCAAGTGCAGTAAGTTTGGGGAAAACATCGATCGCCTCGTACATGTGGTAAATGTCCACTAAAACTTCGTGAACCAGAGACTACAGGTTGAGACAATTTTTACTCATTCTCGTGACCGCCTCTTATAGAGGGGCCCAATTGTATGAAGTTAGGCAAGGAATGCTCCAGGAACACACAACTTCCATTAAAACTCGAAAACACATTGGGTGTAAGAGCTGCCATGACAAACGTGTAAGGATAAGAAACCCAAATGGAACACCAAATAAAAAGGGCAGCCGTGAATACGAATTATTCGGCAAAAATCCCTCACGTTGATAGAAGTACTTCACGAAGATCATAAACTGCGCTCTGTAGCAGTTTTGCGTCAGTTTTAACCACCGGCGAATCCACCTCCTCAACCACTGTTGACATTATACCTTGCGATGAGCCAATGGAATGTCGCGAAGTCCTCGGAGGAGTGGTGCGAACAGCAGTGAGTCGGGACTTCACTGAAGGGATAGGTGCAGCTGATGCTGATGGACATAGCTGGGGCGCATCCTTTGTTATCACGAAACTGTCTGGCCTTGTTCGAACTCCACCCTCTTCGGGACCAGGTATCAATGTGTCAGTGCTTAATAGACTATAAGCGGATCCACTCCAACCATTCTTTTGAACCAGCAGAGTCGAACTCGGTGGAACCGAAGTTATAATTGGGGGACTATGGCTGGGAAATCCGTCCGGTTCGCCCACGGAGACCTGGATAATGGGGTTAGGTGGAGACAGAGAAAGGCGTTCAGAAAAGCTTCGCCGATTGGGTTTCCGGGGTGGAGTGGCGCGAGCGCCCTCTATGGAAGAATTTTTAGGTTGGAAGCCAGTTCGTGATATAGCCGGAGTCATCGCGACAGGTGACGACAAACAGCCAAAGGTTTCCTGTATGTAAAGATTAGGGGAAAATGACAGATGGATAAATAGGAACCTAAACAGTTCAGGACTGAACCTGGCAGAAAATCAAACAGAAGGCAATGATCTGTTTGAAAAAATCCAAGTGTCTTCTGGACATGAGCGCAGATTAAGTGGCCATGTCTCTTTTTCAGTCGAGCAGTGTTGAACTTACGCAAGCTGGTGGTCGTTGGCTTGTTCGCTGAGCTAGGCAATTTGATTGCAAACGTTTCATCACCAATCGAGGTGACATCATCAGTGCGTTTTTGTGGAGCGTAGTAGTGCGTAGCGGTAGCAATCAAATTGCCCAGCTCAGCGAACAAGCCAACGACCACCATCTACGATACCTGAGCTACCAACATTTTCCTCTATAGAAAACTTACACAAGCGTTTTATATTGATTGGTTGATTAGTGATAGAAGTGCAAGAGAGCGAGATTTAGCTTACTGCACGGGATGGTCGGGAACAAGTACTTGATTAAATAATCTCTCAAAAAACACTGTTAAGATACAGTGACGGGCGCAATTTCACTCAAATGATAAGACAGAGCGAGTTGTTAACGTGATACAATGCCGCTTAAGAGATACAGCTTTCCCATCTGATCACATCAGTCCAGGACAAAGGCGTTGTTAGAGCGAAATGGGTTCTAGAACGTCAGGCCTACAAATGTAGTAAAATAATAATAATTTGATAATTTCTATTTTTTTTAAATATTTTTTTAGTAGTGTTTGATGTCAGTACATTTTGTACGTTCGACAAGTTGACGCTTCTAAGCATGAGTTAACAGGAAAGCAGCGGCATCGGAAGTTGAAACAACGGAAAAAATGATCACCCAACACGTACTGCATAAGGTCCACCATCAAGGGCGAGACGGAACCTGGGCTGGCGAGGACCGGGCAGAGCAGACGGATAAGCACGAGCAAGCATGCCACCTTCGAGTTCCAATCGCAGTAGACGAAGAGTATCTTGGTCAGGGCAGACCAGATTTAGCAAGGAGACGAGAAGGAGTTTGCATTCCTCCTGTACAAGTGCCCGACAGTGATCCATTCCTAAAACGGATACGATACACAAGACAAAATATCACACAAAACGTAGTGAAATTTATAGTCATGACCAGAGAGAAACTGAGTCCATCGCTTTCCCAAGTGACCGACGGTTGGGCTCATATCAGAAAAGGTGTCAATCGAACGCAACTGTCAGGAAAGATCAACATTGGTTGAACCGAGTGGGGGAATTTCCGAAACGGTTTCGAAACAATTGCAACGAATTTCTCTCTGGTTTATAAACCTAAGTGAGGCCATATTGGTTAGTGTGAAAGAGACTCCCCCTTAATCTAAGAGCAAAATATTGCATCGGGGTATACTTACAGTAAGAGATAGATCAAGTGAGCTTCACTCGGGGTGACAGTTACGATGAAGCAGTACTCACTCAAATATGACTGACGAAAAGAAGGTATGCAAAAGTTCAACCGGTAGCTTACACAACGGAGCAAAAAATTTTGAAAGCGTACAGTAAAAATACGTACCTAGTAACGCGCACAATATCATCAGAGGGATGTGAGGGCTCCAATCCACTTGAACCATCTGGCAATGAGTCAATCCTCCTGCAAGGAGTAAAACCAGAGGAGCTCGAGCACCTGCTACGGGCCAGCTCCCGGTGAAGACCACAGAACCACCAACGACTAAGGGCTCACACAACCAACATCCTAGAGGAGCTTGGTACCCACCGCTCAAAGGCATAGCCAATGGTTGCACGTGCTGCTGGTGCTGTGCTTGTTTTTCGATGACAGTTGCCTCAAGTGTGAACTCAGCTTTTTGGCTTTCTGTCCGAGAAAGTTTGCCGATCGGGGTGAAGGGGCTAAGGCCACTATCATTTGGGTTCTGTTTTTCCACGCTGACTGAAGAAAAAAGTTTCAGGCTTGGAAGTGATGGAATAGCTGAAGGCAGGGGAATCGGGAGTGGGGCCAGTCCAGCAAGACTTGGAGGTAATGAGACAGTTTGGTGAGGGACTTTGGGGGTTCCTCCAACGAGATCAGCAGGCCTCATATGAGATTTAGACTTGGATTTGACCCTTTTGGAGTGCCGCACAAACGTCCGAGTGGCTGAGTCTGCTTGACCGAGGGTCATTCTCTGTCTCGATTGCCCAGTTTGGTTGAAGTACCGTTCGCGGGAGTCTTCAGTCCTTGGAAGTGTTCCACTTCGGAGTTGAGCTTCCGTACGGAATGGTGTACGATCTGGTTCGCTACCTCCATCTGACTCTCCAGCATTTGAACCAGATAGTACGCGAGCCACATCTTTTGCACGAAGAGTAGCATAGATATCCTCGGGACTGAAACGTATCTTCGGGCTGTCTGTAAGTCAGAAATCAAAAGAATATGAATAGGACCACTGGTTTAACAGATTTCTCCAGTTTCGATTAAATACATCACATTGCAAGCAGCAGTAGTGAAACTTCGATCAAATAAAGTCTACCGTTTGCTGAATTACGGAGAGGCAGGTCATCGACCAAACTCAGTCTCCCAGGTTGGTGGAATGTTGCATATCAACTTATCATTTGTACAGGCATGACCAGTGATCAAGGATGGCAAATGTCCCCTACCGTTGCAACTGACTAACACCTCATGTTTCTAGTTGCACTAATTCATCACAGGCCGGTTACAAGAAACATGCACCAGGGCGGATTTGGCTTCATGCGTTGTGTGGTACATAGTTGACACGAACTCACGGTGACTATTGAGTGCGGTATATTTCACTTTCACTAACTCATCACAAATAGAGAAAAAATGGGACGAGATTAACCTTGATTCATTTCTTTTTCCAGAGCCTCGGGTCGAACAGAATAAATACCATCGGACTCATAAAGGAGACTTGGTGAGTGCGGCCGATTACCAGCAATTTGCGTTGGGAATGCTAGGGAAGGATCAGGTAGGTCCACATTCACTTCGTCTATATCACGGCCAGCGGTTGATTCCGAGCGTTGACCAGATGCTTGTGACCTGGAATCGTAACAGATGTAGGGTAAACAAGAGAAATCCGCCTGTGGAACAACAAGAAAGTAAAACAGCAAAGACTGCGTACGATTGCAAATTGTGATACATTCGAAAGTGGAAAATAACTCACCCCCCCTCCACAAAAGGATGTCACCAATAGCACGACCATGGATGAAAAGTAAACTGCAACCGTACACAGCTGGGGAAAGTGTTAGTGACACAGAACGTGTTGGTCCCTCGGAAGCAAAAGTAAGGATTGCCGTGGATTCAAGTCCACAAAAAAGTCTCAATAAGCTGTCAAGAAGTTCTATACCCGTAAACAGATGGTCGCTGTAGATATATGGTGCTGATACGAATCCAGAAGTCAATGGACCGTGGAAAACATTGTGGGAATGTATTTGAATGTATTACATACCTCACACAGTAATTACTTTCGATATACGATTTCGCTTTCGCACTCGGATCGAAAATACGCTCATTGCGTATGGTACTAGTGGGTTTTGCGCCACCGGTGCTCTCCAAGTTGATCGCCACCAATTCTGCGTCCATCTGATCAACAAACTCCCGGCTCATCGATTGTAATACTGTTGGAGGAAACGTAGAAGTTTGATCAGTAGGATGTTGCCTGCCATCCCCAGGTGATGTATTGCTTCGAGTCTTCACCAAAGTCTGATTAGCCATCACAGTTACAGCACTGTCAGCAGGTCGGCGGACATCAGCCGTCTCGTTTGGACGACCTACGGATGAGGCAGCCACAGTGATGCGGAAGAATGGGAATACTGTAGTACGCTCCACGACCAGGCCGATTCCATCAATGGTCTGAGTGATAGAAAGATAGTTGTAGGTTTAGTTGATAGTGCACTTGTGTGACAAACAGAAGGCGGAACTCTATTCAAACGAAAGTCGGAAGTGAAGTTCCCGAGCCAACACACCATCCTTTAGAACAACAAAGTACATTCAAAGTGGATAAAAAGATTCACCAACCTGTATTTCCACCATTAACTCCTCAACGACGGACTCAGCTTGCTCAGTTGCCAAATAGGTAATCAAACGCTTAGCCTGTTGAAAATGTGGAGAAGATGAATAACTATCAATTTGGAAAAGCTAACAGCAGAAGTTTATCCTGTGGTACACTAGTAAATAAATGGCTGAGAAAGTGTTCAACCAATTGGATAACGCTCGAAATTGACTGAAAAGTCAAAGCATCAAACTTAAACCGAGTCTATGCAAGACTAAATGGTCACTGAATGCATAATTCGCAACACCTTAAAAACATCACACACCATGCTATGTGGACGAAAAATAATATTACGGTCAACACAAGTCAAGGCGAGTATGTTTCTGTATGAGGGGGGGGGAAAGATTAGAACGTTAAAAAGAGCAATGATGATATCCTAAATCGTGGCTGTAAAAGAACAACGTACGTGGGCCAGAAGTGTAGCTGGTGCAACTGAAGTAAGCACAATAACATAACGTAGCAGGGCACGCAGATTACTGGGGCGATGGCGGATGAGTACAATCCACAAGTGCTTTAGAGATTCAGTCGTCGTAGGACACTCAGCGAACCGCAGAGTCAGGTAGAATAGATTGTTCAGTACCAATTCGGTGGTCTGAGAAAAAAACCAAAATCAAGAATATATAATGCATAATGAGAAAAGGAAAGCTTCCATCGATCAATTCTTCTAAAAAGTGTAAAATGAAAGTAGTCTGTCAGAACCAGCAGGACGGGATGTTAGTGAACGTGCATAATACTATAGTTCCCGGAAACGATGACATTTACAGTCAAGAAGGTTGGAGAAGGGACAATGACCTCACGCACTAGTTGCTGGGAGACGTAGCGCAGATACGTTCCGATTTCAGGAGAATATTTTTTTAAGTCTGGCGATAGGGGGGGGTGGCTCAGCGGACTGTATGCCACTAAGCCCACTACCTGACCCACCAACAAAGTCTAGTTGGTCTCCATTTGTGCCGATCCGGCACAAGAAACCAGTCACTGAGCACGTTTGGTAGGACGTTTAGCCCTCCTTGTTGTCATAAAAGCGTCAAAACAACAATTGTGTAAAAGTTTGTCTAATAGCTTCAGGAGTACTTCTATCATCCAAAAGGAAAGGTAAAACTGGACAAAAATCTGACCAAGCCATGCCCAGGAGGAAAAGAAGTATTATGCAAATCGCCAAGGATTCAAGTCAGTCTAAACTGGTTTCAATAGTATTAATTCACTAAATGAACTGAAAAGACAAAAAAGCAAAAGCTGAGGTTAAACTGTGAGCTGAACATACAGATGAACAATGGTAATGCGAGGCTACCATTGAATCAACCCGTTTCTGTCCAATCTTACTCAAGGGAATATAATACAACTAGTCGAAATGATGATCGATTGTTGACGAGAACAAACAGTTACCTGTAAAAGTATTTCTACTGATTCTAGGCAATCGTGAGGTAAAAAACGTGGTATGTTTTCTGGAGGCATCATTGTTTTTCGGACAGGCTTTAGGGCACCAGCTCTGGTTGAGAACACTAGCCATTCTCACACGTCTACGTATTCTTGTGGCCCACTTACACACGGGAAATCCATAACGCCACACAAGGTAAACTGATAGCGGGAAAACAGTTCCACAGAAGGTAGTCAGCGCATACAAGATGTCTAAGAATATGTAGATAGGGAAACATCACCAACGTACAAAGGCATGTGGTCATCCTGCTCCAAAAGCAGTTAATATCAGTTCACAAATGTGATGAATACTATGTTGCCCGCAGGTACATACATATACATTAATCAGGATGTTCAGATCTCCCGAATTATTAGAAGAAACTAGTATACTAATTCGTCGAAACACAAGACTGCGACAGTCGAGAGCCACCTTCCTTCGTAGTGGTCTTCTCCATCCTATGTATGTAGCCGCTATCAAAGAATCTCAATTCACAAAGGTCGGGAAGTAGAAGCATTTCCAGGAACATGTAATGCGGAAGTCGACTGACTATCCATTGTGAGGAATTAGTAAGATCACAAAATGCGTGAGCAATATCTGGTTTGAGGAAATGAACCCCTCGCTTTGATGCCAAGCCGGAATACTTAGAGCTCACGGAAGTGTAGACATAGGTGAACTGGATAACCTGAGAGGCAGATCTGCACCACGATGCTGATACAAATAGTTTTTAACTGGGGGAAGAATGAATCCACACCGGTCTAAATTTTCTCGCATGCTAGAGCCACCATTTAAAACCTTGTACGACACGCGACACCAGTCGCATCAACGATTCTTAATGGGTTGAGTTCCCACTACTATTATTATTATTATCACTGAATTACTATCAGGCAATCTGTGAATCTGACCGGTCTTTGTAAGACAGAGTAGAGTCAGAATGAGTAAGCAGGAAATTGAAGGTCAATATATTTCTAAATTCTCAAACCAAATAGGTCCCGTCAGGTCCCTTGTTGGTCCAGAACCACGAAAGACCAGATGACATTCAGTTCGGTTCCAGATTACCTCTATAATTGGTGACGGTATATCTGGCGGTTCAAACTGAAGAGAACCGGTTAAGTAAAAACAAACTCACATCCTGTGCAATCGATTACGATAAAAAACTTATCCATGAATACAAAAGATGCCAGTTTACTGTACCGACTACCGCAACGTCGATACTGCAGCTAAAACGTGTTTGTGCATGATACCAGAAAGGCAAACTATACCTGTTTCGAACCCCAGCCGGTGGAACGCAGAGTAGGAGGGACAGAATACCAGAACTCTTCACAAGCACCTGAAGGACCAGTTGTAGACTTCTGGCCGGTATCTGGAGTTCGTCGAGCTCGATTTGATTTAGGTAACGGGACTGTGTCTGCCTTTCTCACCCGATGACGCAACGTTGATGAAGGAATAGTATGTCGAGATTTAAGCAAGTTCCCCGAAACGTTATCACTGTCTTCTTCACTCCCAAAGAAATCGACATGTTGCCGCCCTCGTCCATAGGAACCTGGACGTCCTTCAGTTGAACGCCGACCAGTCAAGTGTGATTTTTTCCGGGTAGACTCAGGGAGTAGTTCTTCGTCGGAAACAATATCCGCATCGCTTGATGCCGAGTCACCTTCAACAGCGTCTATCATGTCAGCATGAGGGGCTATTTGCTGGAATACGCTGTCAGTTGGTTTCCGCGAATTGACTGGATCCAGCTCAAGTGTCTCCCAACATAATTCTTCACCAACTTTGTCTAGTTTGGTCACAGACGTGTCTCCAATCAAATCAACTAGCTCGATATTAATGATCCATGGAACAAGCAGTCGCAACAGGATTGACCGAAGACACTCACGGCACGTTTCCAAGCGCCTTGTGATTTCTGAATAAGATGAAAGAAGGGAACAAACGGCGGAAGACAACAGGGTAAATTTATAGTCGCTACAGCTGAACGAGGCAGAATGGATTGTAGAAAAATCTTGTTCACAGTTAATGCAGGTTGCAAAGAAAGCGACACAAATAATGTTGTGTTGGAAAACATTCTTTGTTACAACGTAAATGGTGAAGAAAAACAGGAGCGTCGTTAGGAAGAAGGCTAACTAACAAAGCCTGGTCAAGCGCCTGGTAGTTCACCACTTACTGATCGCAAATATATGAAACCTGACAATCGGGAGACCATTAGCGCCACAAAGAAATACGTACTAGTCAAAAGGATGGAGTTGCCTGTGCCTCGGTTTCTTCACAAACTCGATAGAAACGTAAGTTTAGGTTAAGAGCGAATAACGCAATTCGTAGGTTGCAGGGCCATCCTCCGTTATAAAGCCATCCGTACCGAATCTGAACATTGTGCACAATCAGCCGACCACCCAGATGCGTACTGCTACTCCGTAAGGAAGTGCACATGAAGGCATGAACGTTAGGTATCATTTAAGGATGCCCCAAATGCAGTGCTAACTTCGAATACCAAGTAGCAATCGTTGTTGGGAGAGTGAAGACCGAGTTATTTGCCGTTGTTGATCTCTTCATCGATTGAGAGGGGCATTGTTGTAACTGTTGGCAGTAATGACGAGGTATGGGAATTAACAATTAAGTTTTTGTCTTGCAACTGAAGCCAATCCAGGCTGAAAACCGAGAAGCATTGTGCCACGGTTTTATCCTTACTGAGACTCATCATCAGGTCGCACCTCATGTATCTCCAGGATGAGTGGCGCCACATTCTGTGTAGACGCGAGTCAATCACATTTCTGAACAGTCGCTTGTGATCAAAAGGCTAAAGGTTCAGAGCACTAGCCGTCAGATCGCGGGTTCGAAACTTCCTCTAGTTTCGTGAGATGTCCACTAATGATGACTCCAGATAAGGAAGAAGCAACTGTACTGCGATTCCCACCTTCTCAGCATAGATTTCCCCATTAGAGGGTGAAATTTCAATTGAAAATCACTTATTTAGTGACGCAAAACTGAGAGCAGGGCCTTCGGATTAAGTCCTCTTATATCACCCGTCATCACCTGGGGATCCTGCAGTCTCCAGCATCAGTGATATCTTTAATGTGGACTTCTCGCGGGGAATGTGACGACTTTCAGCAGACGAATTTCCAGTTGGTGTTAATCAAACAAAGCTTTGTCGACATACCAAAGATGGCTTATCATCGGAATTTTTTGCCTGCACTATCAAAAAGCATACCCAAGAGAGGAGAATTGGATGCCACCCCACATACTAAATCAGCCAAGCTATGTTATTCACTACATTTGGATTTTAACGCCACCCGTTGCAATGATAATTGGATTCAAAGCTCAATTATCCCTGTTTTATAGTTGTTGAAAAGTGGTCTAGATAATTCTGGTACGGTACCTGTAACACCAAGAGACAAGACCTAGGGACTGTTTCACCGAAAATGTTACGATGAAATCTACACTACAACAGTTTTAATAAGTGTGTTCGAAGGTTGTTCAAGCATAACATGAGTTCAATAGTGTTTAGCTGTACTCTTTCAGACACCAAATGCAGACAATGTGTAGTCGATGTACAAAGGATTCCAAATTCATTTACTAATGAAGTACATACGCGGTGGCAAACTATTCTGGGTTGCTGATACCTAAGTTGGGGGTGGGTGATCTGTAACATTGAACGAGTAAAAGTAGAAGAAAAACATGAAATTATTGGCATGAAAATAATCAAGTGACATTCGAAACTACAAACGAATTCGTTGTATAGGCAAAACTAGACTAGAATTTGCGGATTCCGGTTTCGTATCCTGGTCAGTGATTCATCGTCAAATGCCCGTTCAACCTGAGGAATCTGCAACATACAGGATTCCCCGACAATCGAGTCGCTAAGGAACTCATTTGTCTAGCAGGAGAGGGCAACACACACGTACCACACATTGCAGATTTTTGAAGATGCAATGTACAAACGCCGGAATATTAATTACCTGAAAATATGGTAAGCGTTAGATCTGGGTGTTGGGCTGCAAACTGCCGCACAATTTCCGATGGGGCCCAATGTCGAATCGAATGCCAGAAGTGGACATTGATTTTCAGTTGGGTGCAAACAGTGGACGAACAGGTTGATCGGGAGCTTGCAGAGAGATCGAGATCCTGATCGCACGGACTGTGGTAGCGCTCATGAATGACGCTCCCCGGCTGCAACAATCACAAAAAAACGCCGGTCATATTAAACGTACTATTAAGATACGTGGGTAGGATTCAAATTCAGAAAGTGAGAAAAGCCGAACAAGGTTGGAGGAATGTTTCATTACACGAATTAGATAGAATGCCCATATCATCACCATCATCATTGTCAGTTGTAAGAACCGCGTATGATTGGGGTGGTAGGTAGCTGCGCATTGCACGCGCGAGCTGGTAAATTGGTGCATAAATCCAGCACTGTCAGTGGGTTGTCAAGCGGGGCGGGGTGGAAAAGGAGCTATGCATTGAAGGCAATAGCTTTGATGCATGAGCGCCATTGAGGGCGCGACTGGGCCATGTCTGATAATGTCCCTAGCCATTGATGTGGCCCGTCTCGGGGTCCCCATCCAGGAAGACGGCAGTGACCAGCGCAGCTGAGTTTGCTGGTAATGGCTTTCATACTTCGCTGCCAAGTCATTGTTTGACCGCCTCTGGCTCTCTTCCACCCTTCACATGGTTGGGCGAAAAGAGCCCTTCGAG